AAGGGTTTGCTGCAGCTAGGGTTTGCTGAGCTAGGGTTTGCTGCAGCTAGGGTTTGCCTCAGCTAGGGTTTGCTGCAGCTAGGGCTTGCTGCAGCTAGGGTTTGCTGCAGCTAGGGTTTGCTGAGCTAGGGTTTGCTGCAGCTAGGGTTTGCCTCAGCTAGGGTTTGCTGCAGCTAGGGTTTGCTGAGCTAGGGTTTGCTGCAGCTAGGGTTTGCTGCAGCTAGGGTTTGCTGCAGCTAGGGTTTGCTGCAGCTAGGGTTTGCTGAGCTAGGGTTTGCTGCAGCTAGGGTTTGCTGCAGCTAGGGTTTGCTGCAGCTAGGGCTTGCTGCAGCTAGGGTTTGCTGAGCTAGGGTTTGCTGCAGCTAGGGTTTGCTGCAGCTAGGGTTTGCTGCAGCTAGGGTTTGCTGCAGCTAGGGTTTGCTGCAGCAGCACAAACCATTGCCGTCGGCGTAAAGAGCCTTTAAGCCCGAAAAACCCTCGAGGCCTCCCAAGGAAGAAAAGCCTCTGCGGTGTACGTACAGCACAGAGTTCAGTGCTGCTGTTCTGTAATAGACTTTTGGCTTTTCGCGCAGCAGCGCGGAAAGCGCCTCGCAGGTCATTTCCGCCATTGCAGCAAACCCTAAACCCTAAACCCTAAACCCTAAACCCTAAACCCTAAACCCTGCGCACGCGCCGGCCCGGCGAAGAACTGGAAACTCGCCAAAAAGCAAACGAGACGCAGCACAAACTCTGAAACTCCACTCCTCTACACACTCAGTAAGTGCTGCTGCTGCTGCTGCTGCTGCTGCTGCTGCTGCTGCTGCTGCTGCTGCTGCTGCTGGCTAGACAAAGCGAAGCCGCGGGGGAGCTGCAGCAGAAGCAAAAACACCCAACTTAAATAAAACGAATTTATTTTTAATAATTCAAAAAGAACAAATTTCAACTCTTAGCTGGCTAGATGGCCGGAGTGTACAGACACTGCATGCACCAGCATGCGGTCACTGCAGCAGCAGCAGCAGCAGCAGCAGCAAGAGCTGCTGCTGCTGCTGCTGCAGGTACAATTTTAGAGCAAGGGCACCATCTCTTTAAATGGTTTAAATTCTTTTTTAGATCTCTTGCCACTGCGAATTACAAGCCCACCATCGACAGCAGCAGCAGCAGTTGCTGCTGCTGCTGTTCTCGTTCGCGCTGCAGCAGCAGCAGCTGCTGCTGCTGCTCTAGAAAGCCACTAGCTGCAACGCCGAGATCTATTAGCAGCAGTTCAATATAGATGCTGCAGATGCTGCTACAACGACTGCAGCAGCAGCAGCACTAACTAACGGCTGACGCGGCTGCAGCAGCAGCAGCAGCAGCAACAGCAGCAGCAGCAAAGGCCGCAGGAGCTGCAGCAGCAACGGCAGCAGCAACAGCAAGCTATGCTGGCTCCGAACGCATTCCAGTGGGGCCACCGCTGCCTCAGCGGGCCACTCTCTCGCTGCAGAGCCGCAGCAGCAGCAGCAACTGCAGCAGCAACTGCAGCAGCAACTGCAGCAGCAACTGCAGCAACAACGACCGAAACGGCAGCAGCAACAGCAGCAGCAGCAGGAGCCCCGCTACGTGAACGTCGGGGACGGTGGCTGGCTGCTGCAGGAGTGCCTGCTGCACCTGCTGCTGGGTCAGCAGCAGCAGCAGCAGCAGCAGCAGCAGCAGGAGCAGCAGTCTTCTTCAGGCGCACGGTGCATGCAGCAGCAGCTGCTGCGGAGGCAGCAGATGCTGCGGCAGCAACCCATGCTGCAGCAGCAGCAGCAGCAGGATCAGATCGCAGCAGCAGAAAACGCTTCACAGTTGCTGCTGCATCTCGGCAGCTTGCGGCGGAAGTGCCGCTGCAGCTGCTGCGGGCTGCAGCAGCACCAGCAGCAGATGCAGCAGCAGCAACAGATGCAGCAGCAGCAGCAGAAGAAGCAGCAGCAGAAGACGTAGCAGCAGCAGACTGGTGCCCGCTGCGGGCCCTGTGGAGGCGTTGTGTGCAAGAGCGGCAGCAGCAGCTGCAGCAGCAGCAGCTGCAGCAGCAGCAGCAGCAGCAGCAGCAGCAGCAGCAGCAGCTGGACCTGGGCGAGGGCGAGGATCCGCTGACGCTGGAACATATCTGTCTTCTTCTTGAGGTGTGGAGGCTAGGCCGCAACACCAAAACCCTAAACCCTAAACCCTAGTTCCCAAACCCTAACTCTCAGACGCTAAACCCTAAACCCTAGTTCCCTGTCGAGTCCCGAGCATTCGACTCGTTTCTCGCTCACGCACCTCGGCAGCAAGGTTCAGGGTTTAGGGTTTAGGGTTTAGGGTTTAGGGTTTAGGGTTTAGGGTTTGCGCTGCAGGGCTGCCTCGCAATTGGCCTGCGCGAGTTTACTGTTCTTGGGGGCCTCCTCAGCCTGGGCCGTTCTGCTGCAGCAGCAGCAGCAGAGCCTGAGTCTCTGCTGCAGCAGCTGCCACGTCAGCCCAAACCCTAAACCCTAAACCCTAAACCCTAAACCCTAAACTCTAGACCCTAGCAGTGGAGGGCGCCTGCTGCAGGGGGAGAATGGCCGCAGCAGCACAGCTTCAGTCCTGGTGTTTAGGCTGTCGGCGAACTGTGTAGGGTTTAAGGCCTAGGGTTTAGGGTTTAGGGTTTAGGGTTTAGGGTTTAGGGTTTAGGGTTAGGGTTTGCGTTCAGGAGTGAGTAGAGCTGTCCGCCGTTTGGCTTTTCTCCATTTTGATTTTTTCGAAGAAGCACAAACCGCGCTGCAGCAAATAGGACCTGAGAAGGGTAAACGCTAAACCCTAAACCCTAAACCCTAAACCCTAAACCCTAATTCGTGGTATTCATGCTGGAAGATTTGGCCCCCGCCTTCAAAGCCTACGCCTTAGGGCGTTGTGTGTCGAGTGAAGGGTTTAGGGTTTAGGGTTTAGGGTTTTGAGCGTAAGACTCAGAACCAAGGCTGCGCCTTGAACCCTGAACCCTTGGCCTAAACCCTCAGGAGGGTTTAGGGTTTAGGGTTTTGAAAAGGGCGCGTGAGTGGTTATAGTCTGTGCTGAAGTCCAGTACCCAGGGGTTCAGGCTAAGGGTTTAGGGTTTAGGGTTTAGGGTTTAGGGTTTAGGGTTTGTGCGCAGCGGCCGCCCTTTGGGATATTTGGGACCTCTGCGATGTTGCTGAGGCCTTTGCGCAGCAGCGGATGCCATCTGCTGCTGTTGCTGCTGCTGCTGCTGCACTGTTGCAGCAGCAGCAGCAGCAGGAAGAGCTGCTGCTGCCGTTTGCTGCTGCAGCGCGGCTGCTGCTGGCCTTTGCCCATGTGGACATTCACTCAGCCGCGGTGCTGCAGCCGCTGCAGCAGCAGCTGCAGCAGCAGCTGCAGCAGCTGCAGCAGCAGCAGCAGCAGCAGCAGCAGCTGCAGCGGGAAGACGCCCTCGCGCTGGGCGCAGCAGCAGAAGCAGCCCTGCTGCTGCTGCATCACCAGCAGCAGCAAGAAGGGATGCAGTGGGCCCCTTTGCTGCTGGCCTTTGTGGAAAAGTGAGCAGCAGCACAAGAATTAGGGTTTAGGGGACTGCTTTAGGGTTTAGGGTTTAGGGTTTAGAGCGCTGCGGGCCTCCTGTTGGTCTTAGTAAAGTTCAGGGCTTGACGTGCCGCTGCTGCTGCTGCTGCTGCTGCTGCTGCTGCTGCAGGGCTGCTGCATTTGCTGCTGCGCAGCCTGAGACCTTCTGGACGCGTCCTTCAAATGCTCGGCTCCACAGGTGCTGCAAACCCTAAACCCTAAACCCTAGACTCGGCGCGTGGCGGCAAAGAAGTAGCGAATCAGGGTTTAGGGTTTAGGGTTTAGGGTTTAGGGTTTAGGGTTTGGCAATGCGCAGGCAACTTCTTCTCTGCCGAGTAGCGCTGCGCACTCTAGACCGCTCCCTTTACGAACAGCTTGACCGTAAGCTTTCTGAGGGGATGAGCTTTTAGGGTTTAGGGTTTAGGGTTTAGGGTTTAGGGTTTAGGGTTTGGGACTCAGGGTTAGGAATTTATGAATTAGGGTTTAGGGTTTAGGACCTGGGCTTTGGGGTTTGAGGCTTCGACTTGAAACTTTTGTCACAGTGAATACCCAGCGTTTCTGCTTCTCCCAAAATAAAGGCCATACGGTGGTTTAATGCAAGGCGTTTAGGGTTTAGGGTTTAGGGTTTAGGGTTTAGGTATGAGGTTTTAGGGTTTACGGTTTGGCGTTTTGCCCGCAGACGATACACGAAACATCCTGCGGCAGCTGCAGCGCATCGAAATCACTTTGAGCCCGAGACCCCCGACAGTTTTCGTTAAAAAGGTATGGATTAGGGTTTAGGGTTTAGGGTTTAGGGTTTAGGGTTTAGGGTTTAGGGTTTAGGGTTTAGGGCTTGGGGTTCAGGGTTGTGGGGTCTGAGTTTTGGGCCCTAGGGCTTCCTTTGTTTTGTGGGGATCGCCATGAAATGAGGGTTTAGAAATTCGATGCAGCAGCCACGTTTATATATCATGGAACTACGAATTTAGGATTTAGGGTTTAGGGTTTAGGGTTTAGGGTTTAGGGTCTAGGGTTTGTGGCTTTCAGTTGAGTGCTATTCTGACCAAGCTGCGCATTGCCCACCAACTCTATCCAATGCGGTGGGTCTCTTGCTGCGGTGTGTGGAGGCCTCAAGCTTAGGGTTTAGGGTTTAGGGTTTAGGGTTTAGGGTTTAGGGTTTAGGGTTTGCATGCATGCAGAGGGGTTCTTTGCTTCGACATTCTAGAAAGAGACAGGAGACTCGCGTGGTGCTGCGACAGCGCAGATCGTTTCTACGTGGGCACCAACAGCAAGACTGCAGCAGGTAGGGTTTAGGGTTTAGGGTTTAGGGTTTAGGGTTTAGAGTTTAGGGTTTTGGGCTTAGGGTTTGGGGTTTGGGCTCTCATAGTAGGATTGCGCTTCTTGCTTGTACTTGAGAGATGAGGGTTTGGGCTTTCTTGCTTTTTGCTTGAGACTTAGGGCTTAGGGTTTAGGGTTTAGGGTTTAGGGTTCGGGTTTTCATAGTAGGATTGCGCATCTTGCTTGTACTTGAGACATGAGGGTTCGGGATTAGGGTTTAGGGATTAGGGTTTAGGGTTTAGGGTTTAGGGTTTAGGGTTCGATGTGCAGTTCGTCTACAAGAAAAGATCGTGCGCGGGCTCGGCATTCGCATGGCGAATTGCGCCTATTGGCAGTGGAGCAAAATGAAGTAAACCCTAAACCCTAAACCCTAAACCCTCGATACTTTTCCCTCTGGGGGACAACTCTAAACCCCATGCCTTTGCTGCACTACAGAAACCCTAATTTTGTGTTTCTGGCGCCTTAAAAAGCGAAGTGCATAGGGTTTAGGGTTTAGGGTTTAGGGTCTAGGGTTTAGGGTTTAGGGTTTAGGGTTTAGGGTTTAGGGTTGTCTGAAGGGCTAGAAGAACCCGCATCGAGTTCGTTCGCATGAGCCGCTACTACGCGTTGCAAGACCGCCGGTGAGCCCTAAACCCTAAACCCTAAACCCTAAACCCTAGAGCGTTGGGGTGTGTTAACCTCTAGGGCCGGCGAAGACGTTGTAGAGGGCATCGAGGGTTTAGGGTTTAGGGTTTAGGGTTTAGGGTTTAGGGTTTGTGCTGCAGAGAAATCGACGTGGAGTTCGAGGGGTGGCTGTTGCCCCACGTGCATCATGTGCACCGCAAAAACAACATTGAGGCCTTTTGCCATTTCCCCAACAACCAGCCTCTGGGCTACGCCGTTTACTAAACCCTAAACCCTAAACCCTAAACCCTAAACCCTAATTTGGGTCTGCCGCCAAAGAGGCAGGCAACTGTTTGTACTCTAGGTGGCTGCCGTTTGCGTGTTTAGCAACTTTGGTAGCTTGGGGTTTAGGGTTTAGGGTTCTCCCGCCTAGTGTTTAGGGTTTAGGGTTTAGGGTGGACGATCTGAGGGTTTAGGGTTTAGCAGTGAAGGGTTTTGAGTCTGAACTACAGTGTTCAAGTTTGGGGGTTTAGCGGGGGTTTAGCGCTTAGGGTTTAGGGTTTAGAGCTGAAGTGACCATAGCCCATCATGTAGGGTTTGGGGTCTGGGGTTTAGGGTTTAGGACTGACTTCTCAAACATGCAGGGCTCAAGGGTGTATTGCTGAGGGTCTAGGGTTTAGGGTTTACGGTTATGAGTCTAGGGTTTAGAGTTTGTGTAGCAAAGCGGCCAGCCCGGCTGTGGATGGCGTGGGTGGGGCCGTTGCCTGCATCCAACTAGTGCTCAAAACCAATTGAAATGGATTAAAATGTAATTTAATTTTGTAATTTTAATTTAAAATTAAATTTAAATGACTGAAAAGCCTCCGCTGAGCTGCGCTGGCCTGCTCGAGCGACGGCGCGGCGGTGTCGATACACCGCGCGGGCGGCTTCCGGTGTCTGTGCAGTGCGCGCCGTCCAAACCGTTTAAATTCAATAAATTTAAAATTAGAATTATTAATTTAAAATAATTTGCAGAATTAAATTGTTTATTAGGAGCTGGCTTTCTCGCGCGGCCCGCGAGAACCCCGGGCGTGGCGCGGGCGCGCCCGAGGCCGCCGCAGGGGTTTGGACCGCCGCTTCGCGCTGCTGGCCAATTAACGGAGAAACAGAATCAAAAAGGATTTATTTTATTTCAATTAAAAGAATTTGCGAGATTTAAAGCAGCAAAAGAAGGACAGGCGGTGTGTGTGGGCTCGTGTGCGCCGCCCCAGGGCTAGACCAGTGGTCACTCGGGCTGTACATACACTGCAGCAGCAGCAGCAGCAGCAGCAGCAGCTGCTGCTGCTGCTGCTAAGTGCTGAAGCTCCAGATTCTTCAGCCAGATTTTCCTTAAAGGTTTCTTTTGGGTATTTATTTATTGGTGAGAGCTGTCTGTACACCTCGGCGCCCTCGCCAGCTTCCTGCTGTCCCTGCAGCTTCCTTTTCTTTTCTTTCTTTGTTTCTCTTTGCTGCTGCTGCTGCTGCTGCTGCTGCTGCTGCTTCATTTGCTTCTTGGCTTGTCTGTCGCCAGCAGCAGGGGACACTTTCCGGGCTCTGGTCTGTAGACACATCGGCCTGCTGCTGCTGCTGCTGCTGCTGCTGCTGCTGCTGCTGCTGCTTATGTTTGCAGCCTCCCAACACAGGTAGGGCCTCGCCGCAACAGCAGAAACAGCAGCAGCAGCAACAACAGCAGCAGCAACAACAGCAGCAACAGCAGCAGTAACAGCAGCAGTAACAGCAGCAGCAACAGCAGCAGCATCAAACGCAGCAGCAACTCACGCCACAGGGGACGGCTAGTGATCGTTCCCCAAACTCGAACCAGTGAGGGATAACCCTAAACCCTAAACCCTAAACCCTAAACCCTAAACCCTAAACCCTAAACCCTTGGGGGTTCGGCCAATTCTTTTCCACAGCGAGCCTGAGGGGGAGTTCTCCGTTTCTTTGCCTCCTACGCTCACTGGACCCTTCTTAATTTGCTGTTTCTCTTGCTGCTGCTGCTGCTGCTGCTGCTGCTGCTGTTGCTGCTGCTGCTGCTGCTTTTGCTGCGCTGCCCCTGTTGCTGCAGTCTTTCGAAGATGGTGTCTCCCAAGCCTTCGCGCTGGGATATGCAGCCAGCAGCAGCAGCAAAAGCAGCAGCAGCAGCAGCAGCAGCAGCAGCAGCAGCAAGGGGAGGCGGAGGAAGCAAAGAACACAGAGAGACAAAGGGATGGTCTCCTTGGGCCTCTTCTGCTGCTTTCGGCCGTTCCGATCTTCACCTAGAGGAGACACTCACCGGTGGTGGGCCCCTGCTGCTGCTGCTGCTGCTGCTGCAGCTGCTGCTGCTGCTGCTGCAGCTGCTGCTGCTGTTGCCGTTGCTGTTGCTGCTGTTGCGGCTGCTGTTGCTGCTGTTGCGGTTGCTGTTGCTGTTGCTGCTGTTGCTGCTGCTGATTCAAACTGAAGCAGCAGCAAGGGCCTCCAGCTGCAGCAGCGCATGCAGGAGACAAGTGACACACGCTGCTGCTTGCTGCTGCTGCTTCTCCTCAGCAGCTTTTTGTCTCCTTTTGTTTTTATTTGCAGCAGCAGCCACAAGAGACGCCAGCAGCAAAAGAGAGACACAAGAAGCAGAAGAGACAGAAGGAGACGCCCCAACTTCGGCGGGAGCTTCCGAGTGCAGCAGCTGCAGCAGCAACAGTCCAGCCAGCGACAGCAGCAGCAGCAGCAGCGACAGCAGCAGCAGCGACAGCAGCAGCAGCAGCGACAGCAGCAGCAACGACAGCAGCAGCAACGACAGCAGCAGCAACGACAGCAGCAGCAATGACAGCAGCAGCAACGATAGCAGCAGCAACGACTGCAGCAGCAACGACTGTAGCAGCAACGACTGCAGCAGCAGCAGCAACGACAGCAGCAGCAGCGGCAACAGCAGCAGCAGCAGCAGCAGCTATTGGATGGCGGAGACCATCTGCAGCAGCAGCACAACACATGTGTCTTTTGAGCTGAGACAGAGTCTCCTCGGCCTAGGCAATGTGGCGCTGCAGGCAGCAGAGCAGCAGCAGCAGCAGCAGGAGCAGCAGCTGCTGTGGGAGCAGGAGCAGCAGCAGCTGGTGCAGCTGCTGCAGCAGCAGCCGCTGCAGCAGCAGGAAGAGCCTTCTGAGGGCCTCAAGTTCCTGTGTCTCTTGGGAAGCGAACTGGGGGAGCAGCAGCAGCAAAATGGTGAGTTTAAAAAGACAAAAAGGAGACACAATTTGAATAGTTTTAATTCTTTTTTGGCAGCAAAGACAAGCAGCAAGTGTCTCCTTTGAGCAGCAGCAACTGCGAAAGAGGCAGAGCAGCTGCTGCTTGTTTGCTGCTGCGCTGCAGCAGACGTGGAGGCGCTGCTGCTGCAGCCCGCCGCGCGCCCCGCCTCTCTGCACCCGCTGCAGCAGCAGGAGCAGCACCTGCTGCTGCTGCTGCAGCAGCAGCAGCAGCAACAGGAGCAGCAGGAAGATGAGGAATCCCTGGAGATGAAGCGCCGCGTCGAAGAGCTCGTGGAGAACATTGTGGGGCCCACCCATATCTCCCTAGGCTGCTTCCTGCAGCAGCAGCAGCAGCAGCAGCAGCAGCAGCAGCAGCAGCAGCAAGACATGTGCTTCGAAGGAGTTGTTGCTGCGCTGCGGCAGCTAGCGCAGCGCGCCACCCCACACCAGCGTTTGCTGCTGGAAGACATAATTAGTCTCGGGCCCCGCGACTCTGGACTCCGCAGCAGCAGCAGCAGCAACAGCAGCAGCCGCAACAACAACGGCAACAGCAACGGCAGCAGCAGCAAGAGCAGCAGCAGCAGCAGCAGCAGCAGCAGCAGCAGCAGCAGCAGCAAGCCCTCCCGCACCGCTAGAGACCGCCCTTGGCAGTCGGCGCCCCCCAGTGAGCATCTGAAGTGCCCCCCGGCTGCTGCATCTGCTGCTGCTGCTGCTGCTGCTGCTGCTGTTTTTCTCGCTGTTGCTGCTGCTGCCTTTCTCGTCGTTGCTGCTGCTGCTGTTGTTGCTGCAGCTGTTGGAGTCGTTCTGCCGTCTGCGCAGCTGCTGCTGTTGCTGCTGCTGCTGCGCGCGGCGCCGCTGTTGCCGCCGCTGCTGCTGCTGCTGCTGCTGCTGCTGCTGCGGACGCTGTGCTTGCTGCTGCGCGGGGTGTCTGTACAGCTGAGAGCTGCTGCTGCTGGCCCCCCTGGGAACGCGAGCTGCTGCTGCAGGCTTTAAAGTCTCTTTATGGAGATCAAATTTTGCCAACAGCTTTTAACTTGAAAGGCAGACTTTTGGAAAACGGCTGCTCCGCCCAGGTGGCCGCCAACTTCGTAAGGGTTTAGGGTTTAGGGTTTAGGGTTTAGGGTTTGGGGTTAGGGTTTGGGGGTTGGGGCCTAGGGTTGGGGTCGAGGGTTTAGGGTTTAGGGTTTAGGGTTTAGGGTTTGGGCTCAGGGCGTAGAGTGGCTGCTCCGCGCAGCTGGCCACCAACATCGCAAGGGTTTAGGGTTTAGGGGTTGGGGTTAAGGGTTTGGGGTCGAGGGTTTAGGGTTTGGGTTCAGGGCGCAGAGTTTAGTGAGGGCTTAGGGTTTAGGGTTTTGCGTGCTACGGGGCTCTTCTCGGGGGGTTTAGGACTTGTGATGTTTTTATTTTTAAGAGAGTCTAGGGTTTAGGATTAAGGTTTAGGATTAGGGTTTAGGGTTTTGGGTTTGGGGGCACGGAGGCGAGTAGTATAAATGCATAAATAGGATGCCTAGAAGTTCATTTATATTTAGCCCGAGGGTTTAGGGTTTAGGGTTTAGGGTTTGGGGTTTAGGGTTTAGGGTCTATGCAGAAATTACTGTATATTAGCTTTTCTAGCGGCTGCTTTCTTCAGGCTCTGCGGCTTAGTGTCTGGGTGAGAGGGAGAGGGTTTAGGGTTTAGGGTTTAGGGTTTAGGGTTGAGGGTTTAGGGTTTAGGGTCTAGGGTTGAGGGTTTAGGGTTTAGGGTTTAGAGTCTACGCGTCTGCAGGCGCTTGCTCTGGCGCCGCTCTAGGCAAGTCTTTCGGGTGTTTATTATAAATGCAACTTTTTCATAATTGCATTTCTTTTTGCGAAAAGCTAATTAAAAAAGTTGCATTTGCATGCATTTTGAATAGTTTTTATTTCAAAAGAAACAAACAATTAAAGTTGCATTTGCATGCATTTTAAATAGTTTTTATTTCGAAAGAAACACCCCACACTTCGCTGCGGTGTCTGTACAGCTGAGCTACTACAAGCAGATGAAAGACATGTGCGTGGTGGACTGTCTGAGCAGCAGCAGCAGCAGCAGCAGCAGCAGCAGCAGCGGCAGCAGCGGCGGCAGCAGCAGGGAACCAGTGGTCTACTTGCTGCTGCCGCCCCCAGACCACCGGGGCTGGATCGATGCAAACGATCCCAACGATCCCTACCCCACACTTATGTGGGAAAGCTTTTTCGAGTTCATTCAAAGCAGCGCCTTTTCCCAGTGTTCTAGACTCCGAATTGGAGGCGGACGGTGCCTAAACCCTAAACCCTAAACCCTAAACCCTAAACCCTAAACCCTAAACCCTAAACCCTAAACCCTTGACCATTAACGTGTTTTCGAGTTCATTCAAAGCAGCGCTTTTTCCCAGTGTTCTAGACTCCGAATTGGAGGCGGACGGTGCCTAAACCCTTAACCCTAAACCCTAAACCCTAAACCCTAAACCCTAAACCCTAAACCCTAAACCCTAAACCCTAAACCCTTGACCATTAACGTGTTTTCGAGTTCATTCAAAGCAGCGCTTTTTCCCAGTGTTCTAGACTCCGAATTGGAGGCGGACGGTGCCTAAACCCTAAACCCTAAACCCTAAACCCTAAACCCTAAACCCTAAACCCTAAACCCTAAACCCTAAACCCTTGACCAATAACGCGTTTTCGAGTTTATTCAAAGCAGTGCCTTTTCCCAGTGCTCCGGACTCCGAATTCGACGCTGCGCAAGCCGCAGAGCCTAAACCCTAAACCGCAAACCGCAAACCCTAAACCCTAAACCCTAAACCCTAAATCCGTGTTTGCTGCTGCTGCTGCTGCAGCTACGGAATGGCCTGCTTCCTGCGGCGGCTGGACTTGCCGTTTTTTCGGGCTTTTTCTCTGGGCCAACTTTGCCACATTGTGCAGTTGGCCATTTCCAAGTGGAAAGTTTTGGCTTACGAAAATAGTGTCATTAAACCCATCAACCAGTGCAAAAAGGTCGTCCAGGCCATGCTCGTGAGGCCTGCTGCTGCTGCTGCTGCTGCTGCTGCTGCTGCTGCTGCTGCTGCTGCTGCTGCTGCTGCTGCTGCTGGTGTGGGCGTGGGTGTGGGTGTGGCTGCTGATGGTGGTGCTGTGGGTGTGGGGGTGGCTGCTGATGGTGGTGCTGATGCTGGTGGTGGTGGCGGCGGTGCTGCTGCTGCTGCTGCTGCTGCTGCTGCTGCTGCTGCGGCTTCTGCTGCTGCTGCTGCTGCTGCGGCTGCTGCTGCAGTGGCACGGCAGAGCTGCAGCAGCAGAGGCGGCAGAGCTCCAGCAGCAGCAGCAAAGCAGACACCATACATGTGTGTGCGCATGTGCACTTATGCAAGATGTGCTGCTTCTGAATTCCCCTGCTGCTGCTGCTGCTGCTGCTGCTGCTGCTGCTGCTGCAGCGGCTGCCAGAAAGGACCAACAGCAGAAACTACATCAGCAGCATCGAAGAGCTGCAAAGTTGTCTCCTCGAGCTGCTGCGCGCAAACCCTCAGGGACTTCCTCTGTCGGTCTTGAGCCGCAAGTTCAAACTCAGGTCCAAACCCTAAACCCTAAACCCTAAACCCTAAACCCTAAACCCGGAAGTTTGGGCGCAAGCTCGCTGCATCCAGCTTGCGACAAATATAAACCCTAGCTCGAAATCTCAAACTCAATGCCAAACCCTAAACCCTAAACCCTAATTTCAACAATTCCGAGTTAGCTCTTGCGCAAGTTATGTTTCAGAAGCTTCAAGGGTTTTGTCCCTCTGTGAGCTGCAGTGTGTGCCTCCACCTCTTGATCAGGGTTTAGGGTTTAGGGTTTAGGGTTTAGGGTTTGCGCGCAGGTTTGGAAAGGAGCTGTCTCAGACTGTCTTCAGCTGCACTAAACTTCAAGACTTAATGCTGCTGCCGGAAATTCGGGCAGTTTGCACTGTTGTCAAGGTACCGTAAACCCTAAACCCTAAACCCTAAACCCTAAACCCTAAACCGTAAAGCCTGAGTCCTCAGAGAAGGGGTTTGGGCCAGGCTTTTGGCCCGCAGAGGCGGTGAGGGATGCTGTACTAGCGCTAGGGTTTAGGGTTTAGGGTTTAGGGTTTAGGGTTTGTTTGTTTCAGAGAGCCCGGCAAATCAAAGTTGTTCCCCTACGGCCTGGCTGGACCCCTGAGGATACACCTCAAAACCCTAATCCAACGCCATCTCTATAAACCCTCGAGCAAGCAAGCACCTCCCCGCTGCTGCTGCTGCTGCAGCTGCTGCTGCAGCTGCTGCTGCAGCTGCTGCTGTAACTGCTGCTGCAGGAGCAGCAGCAGCTGCTGCTGCAGCTGCAGCTGCGGCAACAACAGCCGCCGCCCCCGCCGCTGCAGCAGCAGCCTGCCTTGCTGTTCTCGCTGGAGACGCAGGAGCATCAGCCGCAGCAGCAACTGCAGCAGCAGCAGCAGCAGCAGCAGCAGCAGCAAGACACGAAAGACAGCAGCAGAAGCTCCACTTGTTATTTATTTTTCTTCTTCAGCACCAGCATAAATATGCAGGTGCTGCTAAAAGCACAAAAGAAAACCCACCTGGTCAGGTGGATGTACACCCCGTGCCCACGCAGTGGGGTCCGCGCAACTGCATGCATTCAACTCCAAACCCTAAACCCTAAACCCTAAACCCTAAACCCTTAGTCCCAGTGCACATTCATATACATATTTTTTTCTATCGAAAAACAAAACTAATTTTTCAAGTCATACCCCAACTTTCAATTACCTCTATAAACCCCATGGCCAAGACGGGGGCCCCTGGGGGCCCTCTAGGGGCCTTTAAGGGGGGCCCCCTGGGGGCCCTCAAGGGGGGCCCCTGGGGGCCCCCCTACTGGAGGTCCCTGGGAGCCCCAGTTGGGGGGCCCCCTACCCTAGTGGGGGCCCCCCTGTCCTAGTAGGGGCCCCCCAGAGAGACCCAAGTGCTAGCCCTAATAAGACTTTCTAGGGGGCCCCCGTAAGTGGGCCTTCTTAGCTTGGGGGCCCCCATAGGGGGCCCTGGAAACAGTGCAGAAGGGGGCCCCTTTAAGGGTCTTTTGAGGGTACGAAAGGGGGCCCCTCAACGGCTCACGAGGGCCTCAATGCGCTGCGTGAGGGCCCCTAGAGGGGCCCCCAAAGGGTTCCTCAAGGGGCCCCAAAAAAGGGTTTGGGGGCCCCCACGGGGTTTATCCCCACAGCTAGTCTTCTAAGGGGCCCCATAGAGAAAACTCTCTAGGGGGCCCCCAAGAGGGGCCCCTCCTGTGTGGAATCCCTCACAAAGGGGGCCCCCTAGGGGCCCCCCTAGGGGCCCCCCTAGGGGGCCCCCTAGGGGTTCATTATAGAGACAAGACCAACTGATCTAATTAAGGGAAACCCCGCGACAACAAGCATTAGGCTTTGAGGGTTTAGGGTTTCGACTGGAGGGTTTAGGAAGACCCTAGCGAACCGGTTAAACGTCGTTGTCTCGAGGCTGGGACGAGGGTTTAGGGTTTAGGGTTTGGGGCAGAGCTAGGGTTTAGGGTTTGGGCCAGAGCTAGGGTTTAGGGTTTGGGCCTAGTTTTCTCTTTGTTCTTCCCTCCGGTGTACGTACACCTCAACGCTGCTGGGCAGCGGGAGCTGGAGGGCTGCAGGCCCCTCAATTGTAAACCCTAAACCCTAAACCCTAAACCCTAAACCCTAAGCCCTTGTACTTGGAGGTGTTTGGGAGGCCCTCGAATAACGGGAGCGCAGGCTAGGAGAGTCCTGGAGAAAGTCCCAGTGCTTAGAACCAGGGTTTATAAATCTAGGGTTTAGTGTTTAGGGTTTCGAACATTAGGGTTTAGGGTTTGGAGGAGAGCTGCAGCGGTGCGCCAGCTAGACAAAGAGTAAGGCCTCCGGAACTTGCTGGGTCTGTTTGCAGGCACCGGTCCCGTATATGATCAAGTCGCTGATTTAGGGTTTAGGGTTTAGGGTTTGGGGTGCAGCGGGTAGGGCGGGCGGGTGGG